CCTAAAGTCCTCAAGCAGATGCTTCCCAGTGGGAATTCCCCAACAGACACACACAAAGCCAGAAATCTTAAAAGGAGATATTAATCATACACAGTCAACTTAACTGATATAGAAACAAAGGTCATACCAAGTCTATGCCAATGCCATGTTTAGTAACTTCGCCTTCAATGACCTTTGCCAACAAATTATGGCTCCAGAGCTGACCAAAACCATCCTAATAATGACAATAACTTAAGTTACCTGGAACATATGACCACTAAAATATATAAGTTTTCCAGGAAAATTCTTGAGAAAAACCTGCAAATCCGGATGGTCAAGAATCTTTACTTGTTGGAGTGGAACCTGCATTTACAAATTTACATCATATAAAATTGCAGGCAGGCCAGTGCACAGATCAAAGTATTTTCCAATTGATAGTTTGAACTTTATCAGGGCTTAGAACACTAAACCTTTTGACAATGTTATCAAGGCTTAGACCACTAAATCTTTAAGTACATTGAACAACACCAATCACTAGAAATGATACTGTTTCAATAAAAATTAAGTCCTTTCCTTGTTTGACTTTTCCCTTTTGACTTATTGGCAAACTATAAGTGATAGGTATAGCATAAGGTACAAGGTTAACATGCATATAAAACAGCTGCAGCTTTCTAGTTGCTGTATTTCCACTATGCAGATATTTTATCGTTACAAATCACCTTAAGCACCGCACAGGCCTGATAGAATTCATCCTTTCTGACATTTCCCTTACCATCTGCATTACCTAAATGAGGAATATCCAAAAGAAACAGAAAGTATTACCCATCTTATCTGCTCTTCATCATTTTTCTTCCTTCAAATAAATGAACATTTTTCAACAATTACGTGAAACACTGAAGTAAGGGATTTTCTACTAGGAACAGAATATACTAGAGTTTGGAGTACTGGAACTGCTAGGGAAAAAGAGAAGAAGGAAAAGGTTACATCTGCGGTGTGATTTACGATAGGATGCACACATCTCATTGCTTATTAACTCTACCAACTGAAAATTAATTTTATGCAAGTGTTGAAGTCCCTTTGTTGTTAGGAGTTTTTCGTTTCCAACATAATATTCAATAACAAAAGGATTTAGAAAGAAAAGATTCAATGTACTTATAGAGAAACAGAAAGAAATAGGAGGTGACAAGAGGTTGTATCTTAATTTTGGATAATCTATCAAAAAGAGGAATAGTCTTGGTAAACAGGTGTTATTTGTGTAAAAATGATACAGAAATAAGAAGCCATCTTCTTTGATAGTGCCCCTTTGATTCCCAGCTTTGGTCTGTGACATATAGCTTCTGGGAGATAACTGATCAATGACTGGTTGTGCAGAGAAGTGAGACTACCTATTGAACCGGATGACAGGGCGCTTCTCGACATCAGGTGTGTGTTAATTTGTTCGGAAGCAGTCTTGAGGCTCAAGATTAGTTTGACAAAATCAGATCTTGTGTAAATTCAGCTTAATGAAGAAGATGGAAGGTTGGCTTACATTCTGGAGCGCAAAGAAGTGAGACTACCTATAAAATATTTGGATATTTCATTAGGGGATAAGTTCAAGGAGGCTTTGACTTGGGGGCCAGTGATCAACCTTTTTGAATCTCGGTTGAGCAGCATCCCTATATCTTTTATGCCTGTGGCAACTATCAATTCCAGTTGGCTAGGAGACTGGAAAGAAGCCAATGAAGATTCTTGTAGAGTGATTCAGAATGGAGAAGAAACTTTGCACCTTGTGGCTTGGGACAAGGTCAAATAACGATTACAGTGTGGAGGCTTGGGCTTGAAAGCATTGGTGGGTTTCAATAGCGTGTTTCAAGAGAAGTGGTTATGGAGGTTTATAAGAGGGGAGGGTAGTCTTTAGAGAAGAGTATTGTTTACTAAATATGGCAAGGATGGTGGTGGTTGGTTTACTACGGTTTCTTAGGTGTGAGTAGGATGGTGGCAGGCTCAGTAAGAGAGGAAAGATGCCCTGGAGAGGCATCCAAGGTGACAAGAGATTAAAACTTATCCCTTTGGTTACCTTTTGGACTATATGGAAAGAGAGGAACAAGAGACTAAAACTTATCCCTTTGGCTACCTTTTGGATTATATGGAAAGAGAGGAACAGAAAGACTTTTAAGGTACAGAATGTAATTTCATATTTTTAAGGATTTTAATTCTAACACTTGAGTTTTTTGTTAAGGACCCATCCTTTGTACTCGTGCAAAAATTTGGGGGATGTAATTGACATCTTGCTAGAATTGTGAATACTTTTTTATACAAGTTTGCATTTCCTTAGTGCTTCTAAATAAATTATACTTTTATGTTTAAAAAAAAAAGAACAGAATTTTCTTTTGATAAAGTCAACGATACTTCATTTTAGACCCTGAATGTTTTTATCAAGGGTCATCCTCCTTTACTCTAATGGGGATTCAGGGAATTCAATTGACATGTTGATAGCCTTGCAAAGATTTTGTATGCAAGTTGCACCCTCTTAATGCCTTTAATACTATATTTTTTTCATTTAAAAGCATAATGCAATTTCAAGACCAACTAATTTGTGATCCCAAAGGCCTAAACTGGTATCACTACTGCTCCATTTTTTCCAAAGATATTAGATACTATTACCATCAGAAATAAGAAGTATAAAATACTTTTTAACCACTTAAGATTAGCTTATTCTTTTTTAAAAAAAATAAAAAGTGTAAAGATTAGCTTATTCTATTAGCATCTAATCAACTTAGACACAAAAAAAATGTTATCTGCACAAGCACTCAACATTCACCTATCGATGTGATTTCAACTCTCTGAGTCTAGCTTATTAGTGGTTAAAGACATATTAAGATAAGAGACAGATTTTCATGATGTCAAACAATGGCTACATAAGGGGACAATGAAGATAAACTCAATCCTAAGCTCTAGCAATCTCTAATGCTTACAGAGATAACTGATCAAATTAATTGAAAACAAAAATTTATGCATAAAATCAAAAATATAAAAGCTAGAAATTTGCAGCAGAGAAAGAAGGGCCATAATGCCAGCACATTACCAATGGACAAGCATAACACGTGAAGATTATGTCCTCTTGAAGTTAGATAATTAATAGTTGGAGAAAAGAACCTGCGTGTGTGTTGCAAAAGATTTCAATATAACAGAATATGATATCCAACAGCTACTTGAATTGACTTAATTTAACACGTCATATGGTGCACGTGTAACGCTAGTCTTTCCCCCAAGTTAAAGCTAACTCATAACTTGGTTCACAACAAATTTGAGCGAGTTAATCAAATAATTAGGACATCTGCATGAATGGTATCATAACTCTGTGATGGATAAATATTTAATTACTTAAAAAGTTGAAAATCCACCATGTAAATCAGTTAAGACAATTATGATAACTGCCAATGACCAATATCACAAGAGAACATTAGTCTTTTAAACCTGAAAAAAACTTGGCAGTAGTGCCAACAAAAACATTAAAATTAAAATGGTGATAAGAAACATCCTCTAAAAACATATCTCCAACTACAAAAATTATATAATTTTTCTAAAACTTACATAGATTCATCATCTGGATGGGCAACAATAAGTAATATATTCTTCTTTTGCACAGTTTCACCTGAGTTCAAGGGACATGAGGTATGAAACTTGAGCAATAGCAAGAAGAAGAATCAAGAATGACATATGACACAAAAGATTGCCCACCATTGTTCAAAAATGTGGCCTTTGAGAGAGAACATGATCCGCAGAAAATTTTGCACAAAGAAACAACCCAGGTGACAATAAGTGAAAGAACAATCACGAGCCACACCATCTAGATTTAGCATACACCAGAAAATAATGAATATTACAGAATATTGATAGCTTTTTGTTCCCATCAGAACCAATCCATGAGATAAAATTGGCCAAAAAGGAAAAATACGACAAAGGACTCAACTGATTATGTTTAAAATAACAGATGCCATTGAACATTTATTCATCTTGATAGTTGATTAGTCATTTGAAGCCATTACTAAAGGGATCTTAATCAGCATTTTGTCAAACAGATAGAATCCAAGTGTATCTGAATGATCATATCCTCGTCTAGCAGTAAAAAGAAACGCAACATGTGCAATCAATGAATATTGTGTTCAAAAAAATACCAGTGCGACACAGTTGTCCCTATGGTCCTTTGGACCACTTAAATTCTGGGGCCAAATTCTCACATTAAGTATGCAAGGTGGCTTGTTCTACAACTGTGGTACATGAGATGGGGTTCCTTCTAATATTTGTGGCAACCTCACTATAAATATTTTTAGTTATGGGAGTCACTATTTTTCCACTTCAAGGGTGGGATAGACAATAAAATTCAGCAATAGTCTATATTCAGAGAAGGGTCAAAAATTATATAAGGCGGGGACATTGTTCCGCCTCGTGGAGTAAACTAATTAAATTATGACCTAATTAGTGTGCATTTAATTTTATCCTAACTATAGGGCAAGTGTGAAATTTACATCCACTGATAAACAAAGATAACTAATAAATGAAATTATATTTACAGACAATACCAGGAGTTGGGAAATAAGCACATAAAAAAACTAAAATAAAATATCTCTGCCATCTTTTTCATGGAAGCTTTCTTCCTTTTTCTGTTTGAATTTACGCGCCCATGGCATACCTTTACCACCATATTGGAACTATATTTTATTCCAATTTCAAAGATTAATTTGGCTCCTATGTTTTCATGCTCATTTATCACCATTTCATCACTATCCACTAAGCACATGTTGTCATTCATCATCTGTCACTGACAGAACAGTTATAAAAATGTAGATAATTATCAATCTAAAAACTCATAGCAAGATTTGAACAATTCCAGCTTTTACAATCCATTAGAACGTGCTAAGAATACAGATATTTGATCCATGATTGATTATGCCCCTAAAAAAACAAAGTCAAAGCAGCATTCACTTGCAACTCAAAATCCAGAGTTTATTAATGCTAAAGTTAAGCAATCCAACACTGTCCTGCCCGTGTTCACATTTCATTCCGGTCACATAGAGTTAGCTTTTCTTTTTCTCTTCACAGCAGGAATAAGAGCTAATAATCAAAATTAGATCAACAATCTAATACAACAATGTCAGTGGTTCTTTCGTTCTAACAGTAAAGGAAAACAATCTCGATTTCCTATCATTCAAATCAACCAGCCTACTTCAACTGCTCCATTTAATAATACCAAGAAAAGATAGTAACAAAGAGATCAAACTGTATGGAAGCAGGATTCAAATATTTTCAAAAGCACCCAGTTTTAGCCACAAATCCACATGCATGACGTGATTCTTCTAAAGCATACAGACATTTGATAAGCATGCACAACTATCTTCACGATCGTTCGGGGAAATGACTGTATCAACGACAGAAGGAAGACCTAATAAAGAAAAGCCCAGTCACCCACAATTATGACACCATTTGCAGCATTCCTTTTGGCATTTCGTCAAGCAGAATCAAGGCATCTCAGACACGCAAAATCACAATGATGTTTGAAACACAAACATTGAATATACACCATAATATTCATTCACTCCAAGTCAGTATATCAGGTAATGGTGACGTTACCGTGAGAAAACAATGTCAACTACATGAATTTAAAAATAACCTTTCTCCTTTCTCCAGATTTGCCTTCTCCTTTTCTGTCTACACGAAGAAACTAAAACGAAAAAGCTTTTCCACAACCCCTCGCTATCTTTCTCTCCCTCTCTCTCGCTCCTAGGGTTGTTCCAGGTCTCTCTCCGCTCAATTTTGTCACTCTCTCATCATTCCCTCCGCAGAAAGCCGCCCCGTTTGCTCTCTCCAAAGTTTAACAGTAATAAAATTAAGTTTTTCTTCTCTTCGTCTCATCCCTATCCTTCTCTCTCCTCTTTCTCCTCACTCCCTCTACCTCCTCTTTCTCCCTAAACCAGAACATCTCCTCCTCCCTTTTCTCCTTCCTCTCACAAACATTAACATGTTGGAATTTTCTTATTTCCTTCAATTCGTACGTTCGTTCTCCTTCTTTCTTCCTCTGACCTTGTTTGAGTTAGCCAGCCAGCCAGCTTCATCAATATGTAAATATACGTAACACTTTTTTAAATAATTATAAAGCCATTTTCATC